AAAGAAAGTACAGAGAATAGAACACTTGCTTATCCAAACTTTTCCTTCAGATAAACATTTGAATCATTTTTAATTTCAAAAATTGTTTTGTTTTTTTAAAAAAACAAAAAATATATCATTCTTTTGTTTTGTAACTCTTGCATACATCAAGTGTATGTATGGAATTATATGGCCAGAGGATAGCTAGAAAAGAGAATAATCTCAAATTAGACAGTATTGCTTGTATTTAGCTTTCTTGCCGATGATCAGTTATTTGCTTTTTCAGTAAGTATTTACAGAGAGAATGAGCATCTATTATAAGACAAATTACATATGTTACAAACTACATGATAATTACTTTTCTTCACAGAACTCAGAAAGAGAAAAGAATGGCCTTATCATAATCATACTTTTAGAGATCATTTCATTAAATGATGACTATTTTTAAGGTGAATCTCTTTTCTTAGAAATCCCTTGAACATTTTTGCTTTAGAATAACAGTCATTGGGAAGCCATGTCTTCAAATAAATGCTTTGTTTATACATATTCCTGATTTATTAAGTGGGATTTTACCTGTAGGAATAAGTAGTGAATAAGTGAAAACAGATTTATTCTCTGTAATTTAAAGTCACTAATACACTAAAGTCTTAGTAGCTGTTTTGAAAGTTTATATATATAGTTGGTATAGCTCAATAATAAATAGATTCTCACAGGCTATAATGCATTAGAAAACCATTCACCACATCTGGCTTCAAGGATTTTCCTTCTGGTTCCTCATATCTATTAACTGTTGCATTCGAATAGTCAATTTCACCACAAGGTAAAAATATGTTTGTAGAATGATTGAAATATATTAGAAAAGAATAAAACATCAAACAGAAAAGACAGTATGTACCTTGAATAAGAATCCTAATTTAGATGATTTATAGTTAGATGCAAGATTCATGTAATAACCCTTATGTCATTTTGATTGGTGCAAAAGTAGTGCAGGGTGCTACTAAAAACAAAATATAGAGTTCAATCCTCAGATAACAGTTATCCCCATAATATCTATCAGCCTTCCCAGCAATTATTTTGTCAAACTCTTGTTATGTAACCAAATGTAAATGCATGAACTAAGCTCTTACATTACGTTAGA